AATCCAAATACTTTTAAATAATAAAAATAAACATAAGTTATAAAATTAAAACTTAATAAAATAATCTTACACTTGCAATGAGATTTTTGTTAAAAGAAAAATATTTAAAAGTTAAAAGATATTGATTTTGAAGAAATACCATTTAAAATTATCTGAAGTGTTAAAAGAATTCATAAAGTGCAAGCCTATCAAGAAGAAATCAAAATTAGATGAAAGAAATATACCTAGAAAAATTTCAAATGACTTGAAAAGAAGTTTATTTAACAATGCAATTAGAATAACTGATAGTTTTATTATATTTATAATCTTATTAGATTATGAAAATATTTATAAATAACTGATATAATAAAAAAATTAGAAGTTTTTTAGTTAGTATATTAAGCTATTATATAATTAATATAAATTCTTATATTTAAATATAACTATAAATATAATTATACTAGATTATATCTTGATTATTTTATAATAAAATTAATATTAGATTTTGAATTCAAAATAAATTAGTTTAAAGTAAATTATATATTTTTAGTATAATAAGATGATTTTAAAAAAAATTGAAGTAAAGTAATAATTATAGAAATTTAGTCTATTATAAATGAAATTTATTATATTGATATAAATAATTAAATATATTCTTGTCTAATATATTTCTATAACTATTATTTTATTTGCAAGTATCTTGTTATAAAGAAAAATAATATTAATTTTGATTTATTTTCTTAAAAATAACATGCTATTATAATTATTTTTTTAAAAAGAATAAGTTATTAGCAAGTAATTTCTAATTTAAATATAGAACAAATGCTAATTTATAAGATACACATTCTCACAATATATTATCAGAAATTTAATATCAATTATTCAATGAATTGAAATTTTTATTATTGAATAAAAAATTATTATATTTATTAAATATATGATAAATTAAAGAAAAATAAAATGGTAAATATACAGTTATATTGATTCAAATTTAAGAATCTAGAAATTAATATGGTATACTTTTGCTATTGGCTTCAATAACTTTATTTACATATCTAGATAAACTCAAAATTAACTCATGCAAAGTTTCCAAATCAATACTTACCCATTCCTCTTGTAACATATAAATTAATTCTTGCTTTGATATAGGTAACAGTCTTCTTTTTTGCACCTATTGCCGGTCTGGAAAGCACTTTTTCGCCATGGCTAGGGTATTAATTCCATGCGGCGGTATATCAAGGTACATGTACATGTAATCTGCAATCGATGCAAAGTGACTAGATTATGGAATTGTGCACTTCTAACAATTTAAGCATTTAATAAAAAACTTAATTAATTATTAATTTAATGGTATAATTATTATCTCTTGTTTCAAGATATTGTAATTTAAAAAAATCATTCTAGTGATTCCAGTATATCGAGGTTAATTACAAACTACGAAAAAAGGAAAAATTATTTATGTGTTGTTATCAGCAATCTAAGAAGAATCCAAAAGTTTGACAATCGTGACTTTCATTCTGGAAATATATTAATGAATACGATAGTGAATACATTCCTCAGATTGCTGATTTTGGACTTAGCATTCCAACAAATATAGATTCCAACAAAGCAGGCCAACTGCAGAGGAACTTGTTCACTTTATTGGATCTATCTATGAAGATGATGAAAGAAACGAACATAATTGGAAACTAAATTTTTTGCATTTTCAGTATTACAATTTTTCAGAAAATGCTGAAACAGATGAAGAAATCAAAGAGCTCCTTAAATTATAAAGAAAGAAATTGAAAGTACTTGACGAGGAGAAATTACAAAAAAGTATTTCTATAAATATAAACAAAAAAAGCAAATTCATTCAAATGCGATTATTATCAGTCGAAAGTTTAACTCAAAATTAATATTAATATACATCCAAACTTGGTTTTTATATTCAATCAATCAATATATCAAATATTTAGGTTCTAATAAGACTTATAATATTATTATTTTCATCAATTTCTTTAATTCATGGTTTTTCTTTGGTCAGATTTCGATATTTGTGTGCCACACGAAATTGAAGATATGCTGAGTGATTTGTAAGAAAAACTACAGGACGTTAGCTGAACCAAAAGTGGTTTCAATTTCTTTATGATTACGCGTATATTGATTATTTTAACCATATGTATAATTATTTTCATGAAACTAACTTTATTGTTTTTAGATCATACAAAACCTCTCAAAATAATAGAGAATAAGACATAATAAATAAAAATAAAATTTACATTTGCATGCAAACAAAAATTACCAACTACAATCAATCAGTTGAAATCAATACATATATCCACACCATAAGCTACGACAGCATTTCAGCTTATTAACATGAAAGTAACATCAACGATGACGTGATGACCATTCAATGTATCATTTTATATTTATATTTCGAAAGTAATTTTGATAAAATTTCTAATAAATAAATATGACGTGTAAACAAAAAGAATCGTGTTATATGTTGATATCTAAATCTGTTGTACTTGTAAGCCAATCGATATCTATATCCTCTTCGAATTCATGTGACGTACTTAAACCGAAATCTGTTTTGCAGCACCAAAGAAAAATAATGGGTTAAGAAAGTCAATGAAAACTAACATTAACATTGATAGTAGTTCACCTTCGAATGGAACAAACAAATTGACGCTCGTGAGCCCTAAATATTTGATATAATTTTTAATTAATATGAATATTAGTCTATTTAGTAATAGAAATTAACTGTACCAGTAGGAGTTGGAATTGAAATCAATTTCGAATTAAAGCTTCGACTGGTATAGATTGCATTTGAGTGGATTTGTTGTTTTTTGTTTATATTCATGGGAATGTTTTTTCGCGCCTTCATCTCCTTATCAAGTTTATCTAATCTCTGCAACTCTAATCTCATACATTCTATAATTTCTTCATCTGTTTTAGGATGTTCTAAAGCACTATAATACTGAGAAAGTAAAGTACTCGGTTTCCAATTTTTAAATTTAAATCCAAAGTGCATAGGGCTGAGAAATGCTCGAAGTTGTTCAGCAGTTGGTCTATTTTCTGGAATGGGATCCCAGCATTTTTCAATAATAAATTTGTAAAATTCGGGAACATTGTTTGGTATTGTAGGCCGTACTCCTTTATAAATGTCTAATACAAGACTCCTATCATGATTTCGCTCACCAAATGGTCGTTCACCAGTCATTACCTCGTACATAATCATCCCAAAGCTATAAATATCTGCAGCTTTAGTGTATGGCTTTCCACTTAGTACCTCCGGACTCATATAAGGAAGTACTCCACAAATTTCTTGGTTAGTTTCTTCTATATTAGCTGAAGTGGTAAGTCCAAAATCTACAATTTGAAAAGTAAGATCAACCGATAATATGTTTCCGGGGTGAAGGTCACGATGCATCAACTCCTTTACGTGAATTTTCTCCAGATTAGCGATAATGTTATATAAATATTTTGCTTTTGTTCTCCAAGTCAATTTTTCATAGTTGGATTCGATATGTTTGCGAATATCGCCATCTTCTGCATAAGTCATTATTAATAAGTATTCATTTGTAACTGGGTTTATAGCAATTCCAAAGTACTCAATGTATATGAAGCAACTTAGAGCAGCTTTAATCTTTTTTTTGAAAAACTTGATTATATTAGAAAAACAAAAAAACAAATTGATTTATTTTAGAAAATGTTATTTTACCTCGTTTGCGAACTCTGGAGTAATTTGTTTTGAATTGTGTAATGTTTTCAATGCAACTTCTAGTTTTCCATATCGTTTAAATGTATTTTTTTCATGATCAAATACTGCACCAAGTGGTCCTTCCAACCAGATTGCCTTATAAATTGTCCCAAAACCTCCTTTTGCAAGAAATTCAATATTGGTAAATTCTTCAAAAGGGAAATATTCGAATAGATTATATACATAATATTCATCTATAACTTTGTTTGATTCTTTTATTAACTTCTCGAGTTCTTTATTTTTGTAAGATAATTCAGCTAAATAAATTCGTTTGTGATATTTATAACAGTCGACGCAGTTTTTAAGTCTTTGACAACATTCACTACAATCACTAATGTCCGAGTCCATATTGAGTTCACTTTTAAAATGTATCCATATCATTCAATTTTATACATGTACAATTTATTTGTGCAAAGTTACGCATGTGTATGTAGTATGAAACATTTTTTACCTTTGTGTAATGGTAAATACATGTACACGTATTAGTATGCTCTGTCTGTATTTAAAACTTGAAACAATTAGGTTATACATAACGTTTAGCCTATCGCGCGTGGGTAAGGATGTTAACGTTTTGACTTAAACCAGTTAAACCATAGTTTGGTTTAAAAACGTGATCAAAGTTAGCTCATTGGGTGGCTCGGCGTTTATTTTTAGCATTGCGCAAAAAACTAACATAAGCGGTGTCGAAATAGTACCGGAATCAGTTGGTGCAAATCGTTGATTACGGGACTGGAATCTATTTACATCGGTAGGAATCGGATATACAATAATTTCCGATTCCAGACTTTTTATTCTACCGAGTGTACATCGTTTTATTCCCAAACAAAGGTTTTTATTTCTTTATGGTCCCCGACATATACCATGTTTTCCGGTTCATTACGTATGCATTGTGTTCGCATTGCATGTGCATTTTGTTCCCGTATTTGGCGGAATATAAGCAACATCCCCGTATTGGTTTTTTACCCTATTTTTTTGAACCTTAAAAAAATAGTGCCAAACTCTTAATCAGCTGCTTCGTTGAAAATTAATTTTAATTGGTTATCGAATGTGATACATGTACAGTACATGTACTATGATATTTAAGTTATCGTTATCGTTATTGTTAAAAAAACGATAAAAAATTTAAGAAATTCGCTATTATAAAGTCGCTATTATTAAAAAATTAAAAAAAACATTATCATCATTAAAAAATATGATAATTAAATTTAGCGGTTATCGTTATACTTATTGTTTTTCCTTCGTTTTCAAATGTTCTGTCTTTCTTGATATTTGTCATAACATGGCCCAAAGTCAACAATACTCTGTAAATCTCCTTGACAAAGGTCTTATTATTTCTGAAATACATTATGGTTTGTTTGCTCGGAATTGGTGAGTTCAGAGACAATTTGAAAACGAGGTTTTTACTATATATGCGTGTCGGTTTTGAACTGAACAAGCGACAATTTATAATGACAATAGTAAAACAAACTAATTGTCAGAAACCTGGCTTTATTTGTACTAATGGTTCAAAATCTAGTAATGTCAAAAGCTCACCTTCGACTGCAACCTGTACTTTGTATCAAAGTATGTTTGGTGTCAAGACAGAATACTCCATTCTTTTAATTCTTGGTATCAATAATAAAGACCTTATTCAGAAATTAACAAAAGACATTTCATTTGTATCATTGTTTCTCAAAGTTGACAAACATACAATTGTTATTAGTTCAATTGGATATTCATCTCTCAAAAATTACTATGGTGTGGGAACAGGATATATCTCGACAATAATGACAAAGATAAGTGGACAACAATGACTTATTGTACAAGAAATTAACAAGTTTGCTTGCTATTTACATATATATCAAGATGAAACATGTATTAGATTGATTGAAGACAAAACATCCAGTAATATTTGGAAAAAATTAGGAATTCTTACCAAATATGATGGAGAAATCCTTTTTGGTATCAAACATCCCAATACATAATTCTTGTTCTAATCAATGGATTATAAAAAATCATTTGTATGTACACCAAATGAATGGAGTAATAAAAATATATTGGAACACATTTTTGACAAACAAATCAAGTAAAGAAAAATTCTTATGTAAATATTAGATTGAAAGACTTTATTTTGTAAATGATATAATCAAAAAATTAATATTATCCAATTCTCAAAAATATTGAAAAAAAATTTATCTACCAGCTTATACTATATCAAAAAAGAAATTTTCTGTCTGGTAAGCCATGTTTTGAAATTATGAAATGTTATAAGATTACTTCATATAGTATAAAAATAGTAAATATAGAATTTTGAACTAAATCAGACACATCTAATCATGATAAAAATATTTCTTTTATATGTAATATCATCTAAACTAATAATTATTAACCATTTGAAAAAAGTAGATACTTTTTGACAAAGTTTTAGGTTAGCTTACAAATCTAATATTGATAAGATATATGATAAGAACAGAATTTTATCTATTATTACAAAAAAATTTTCTTATTCAGTATTAAAGCAATAGCTTAAGATAAGAAATTAAAATCTTTATAATATATTATATTTTAATGCTTATTTTAAAATTAAATCAGATCAGATATAATAAATACTATAAGAAAATATATAAGATTATATAATTCTGAATTATCTTTTCTTGAGAAATCAAGTATATTTGTCAAAAAATATCTAAAATTAAAAAATTACAATTTATTAAATATTTTTTAAACAAAAATAATATAACTATAAATTTTTATAAAATAGATTCAAAATCAAATTTATCTATCTTATATATAAAAGATTAAAAAAAATATTTAGTAAGAAAAATTTTCTAAACTTATTTAAATAAAATGAAAAAAACTTCATTTATAAAATAATTAGCTAATAAAATATATATTTATTATTATAAAGATCTGAATAACTTATATTAAATATATAATAATTATAATTTTAAAGCATTTTCAGATTTAAAAAAACTAATATACAGAATCTTTACTAATAAGAAAATTTAAATTAGTATATATTGTATTTTATAATAAATATTATTTACTTATCTAAAATTTAGAATGATATCTTATTAAATATAAAAAGTTATATTAATATATGAAATAAACTTATAAAAATAAATTAATAATTAATACAGATAATATAATATTATATAATAATTATATTGATTATTATATATTATATACCTTTGAAAATATGATAAATTATATTTTTTATATTATCAAAAATATCAAGATATTTTGAATTATTAAATTTATAAAATCTTATATTAGTTCAGATAAATTTTTTAATATTTGAAATTAAAAATAGACTTTAATATTTTCTTATATATTAAGAGAGAAAAGTTTATTTAAATATATTATTATTATAATAATATAAAATTCTCTAATTTCATAATCTTTTTTTAGTTATACAAAATTTTATTTTTCTATCATTTTATAAATTATTATATAATTATTCTTATTTTTATATAATTATATATATTTTCTTTATTATATTTATTTTTTATAATCATACTTTTATTTTTAATATTATATCTTATTCTCTTAATTTGAGATCTATATTTTAAATTTATATATCATATATTTTTTATATATTTATTAGAATAATATATTTGAAAATTCTTTTTAATTTTTGATGAAATAATAAAATATTAATATTTTAGATATCAATATTTGAAATACTAATATAATATTGATATTTATAATATATATATTTTAAATATTAATATTTATAATATTTATATTTTAAATATTGATATTTATAATATTAATATTTTAAATATTAATATTCTTAATATTATATTAGTAAATTATAGTTCTTTATAATAATAATATATATATTTAGATAATATTAACTAGTAATATTATATTAATTTATATATTTGAAAAATATTTATATATTTGAAAAATATATAAAAGAATCTATTATTTCAATTTAAAATAAATAATTTTGAATTGAATTATTTAAAAAATATAATTAGAAAGCTTATTATCATAATAATAATAACTTTTTTAAAAGATTTCTTTTCTAATTATACTAGTACACTTTTTCTTATTCAGTTTTATTTCTTTAACTATACAAAATTAATTTTGATTTGAATTATAATATTATATTGATTTTTGGATTTTTAATATTATTTTAAAAATAAAAGTTCTCTATTATAAATAAGTCATATTCTTTTTGTTTTATTTATTTATTATTTTTGAGAGTAAAAGATCTCTACTATAAATAAATCATATTTTTTTAGTTATTTAATATTCATTTACCTTATTTTTATTTTTTTTAGTCATAATCTGCCTTAATTAATAGTAATTTTATTATTATAATCATTTTAAATCTTGAATTATACTAATTACTAGTGACTTCACTAATTAATTTCTATAATTTCTTTAATTTATATTATTCTTTATTCTTTATTTATCTTTTTATTAAGATAATATTCATAGATATTGATACAGATCTTAGAAATTTTTATTAATATTAAAGTTATAGTCTAATTTCTCTCTCTTTACTTTTTAATTAATTCAGTCTCTCTCAACTCAATATTATTAAGATGAATCTAAGTGAAAATTCAATTATCAAATTTATTGTAATATATTTTTGATATCTTTTTCATGAAGAAAAATCTTCAGAGATCTCTTTATTTTATTTTTATTTATCACTTTTGTAAAAAAAGATTCTTACATACTCTTTATTATATTTCAACCCTTTTTATATTTCTTTTATACTTCTTTTTTTATTATTTAAATAATTAATAAATAATTATATCTTGAGTTTTCATAACTAATTATTCTTTTATTGGATTATTTATTAATTATTATTTGAAAATATATCAAAATTCTAATTATTTTGTTAGAATACTTTCTTAACACTTTTGCTCTTATTATCATTCTCTTTAAATTGACTTTTTTTTATAATCTTGAGCTTTTCACTTACTTACTAAAAATATTAGAGCAGTATCAATTAATTAAATCACATATTTATTATTTTCTGAATTAATTCAACTTGATCTTAGTAAGATATATATTATTTAACTTATATAAAGAATAGTATAATTAGTAAATATATTTATATTTAATCATATTAATATCTAAGAAGAATAACTTGACTTAATTAAATAATTTTATTAATAGTTTATTTATTAAAATTTCACTTTATAAACTTAAGCAAAAATCTTTTTTAATACTAGTAATATAGATAAATATTATTCTAAAATCAAGAACTCAGAAAAATTATTAACTTTATCTATACAAATTATATTAAATCTAGAATTTGAAGAAATAGTAATTATATAAACTCAGATGAAAATAACTCAAAACTGAAAAAGAAGATAATTAAATAAATTTAAATAATAGTAATAATACTTAAATAATTTGATTCAAACTCTTGAAGCTCTTACTAATTATATAGCTGATCAAAATATCCAGCCTATGAAAAAGATTATTATTTCTATCAGAAAATATAGAGAGAATAGTCAAGATCTAACAGAATAACTAAAAGATTTTAATATTATCACTTAAACTAATAAAATTATAACTACTAGAAAAGTATAACTAATTAGAGAATATCTAGAAGATGCTGCTATCTTGTGATATGATAGAAAAAATAGAGTTAATACTATCTAACTAACTATCTAGAATAATAATAATAATCAGTCATATAATTTTTATTATTAATTTGCTATATATTTTTAAATCAGAGAATAAATAAATTAATAATAAAATAAAATAGAAATCTTATAATAAATTGATACTATAAATAAATATACAGACAAATTTATTAATTTACTTTATAAAATAAATCCTAATAATAGATATCCAGAAGAATATAAAATAAAATCTATTAATAAGAATACAAATTAAAAATTAAAAAATAAATATAGATCACTGCTAATAGAAATTTCCTAAATATAATATAAGTTATTAAGAATACAATTCATAAATATTATTAATTTCAAATTTAGAATAATTCAATATTAAATATTATTTTAATAGTATTTCAAGCTCTCTTAACTAGTAAATAAAAAGTATTAAAATTAGTAAAAGATCAAATTATAATAGAAATAATTCTGGTTATTAGTCTAATAACTAAAACTTAAAATCAGTTTCTACCTATTATAATTATAATAATCCAAATCATATTTATCTTAATTATTCTTAGCTATAATCTTATAAAAATAATTAGAATAAATTTAGAAATAATTGCTAGAGAATAAATAAAAATAATTAATAATAAAATAATATATTATCAAATTAGGCAAATATTAATAATTAAAATATAAATAATAATCAAACCATATTATTAGCTCAAATACAAGCTCTTATTAATAATATTTAGATATTAACTACCAAATTAGATAATATAAATTTGCTATTTGATATATATAAATACTTGGCTACTAATAGAAAAAATCAAAAATTCTAGAATCACTTCCTATAGAATTAGATCTGTAAGTTAACTTTAAAAGAAAGCTGTTAAAGATAATAAAGAATCAGATATTATTAAAGAAGAAAAATAAGAAGACACTTCTGAAATTATTCTTAATTAAGATATGAATAATACTAAACTATTCAAAATACTTAATAAGAGATTAGCAAAAAGATTATTCACAAAAAGAAAAGCAAAATTATTTTATCTATACTTATTATTATAACTGAATTTTATAATATTCTAGAAGATTTGGCTTAACAAAAAGTAAATATTACTATTACTTAACTTTTTCAAATCTTATTCTCTCAAAGAACTCAGTTATCAAAAGAAATATATCAAGTTATAATACTTAAATTAAAAAGAAAAAGAAGAATAACA